TTCTAAAACTGAAGGTGGGGACTGCAATCTGCTTAATATAGCACCTCCCCTCCACCCTTGCCTCTTGCCTCTTAACACTCAGGTCCTTAAGGCAGTGCTGAAGAGGAAGGAGGGAAGAAGACGAATGGAGGGGATCAGATCCAGACACTGATTCAAGCACTTTTTTGCTGATTGGTTGGTGGGGGCATGTGACTCTGCTAAATTCTTTGCTGATTGGTTGTTTTGCTCCATTGAGGGGTTAAAGACCTAGGAACAGAATTAAAAGCTTTTTGGGTAGGCTGGGGCATCTTTGGCACCTGATTGTTTACCCATCCCCCATCTCAAATTCGTCCAGAAAGAAAGGTGGGAAAACCAAGAATCTCAACTCCCTTTTGTGTTTGCCCATTTCCAGGTGAGACCAGTAAAACATTAAATATATACACACACACACATACACACACACAAGCACACAGTACTTATATCGATCTGACCAAAGCAAAGCATGGGAAGGGAGAGAGGTCCCATTGTTAAAAAGAGAAGAAAAGATAATGAAATGGAACTTTTGAGCCTGAAGATCAAAAGGAGGGCGGAGAAGTGTTGAATGCCCCCAAGAGATGCTGTGTAAATCCATAAAACACAGAGAAGCCTTCACCTCACCCTCTACTCAGAGAAGAAGAGAAAGGACTGAGAATGGTGGGACAGGGAGGGTGCTGGAGTGTTACAAGGGAGTGCAGCTTTGACACAGACTAAATTTTTGGTTAAAGACCTTTGGCTTCCACTAAGGCCCTGAGGAGGCCCAAGAGGGAAAGAGTTCCTAAGAGAAGGAAACTCCCATCTTCTGATATTTAGGTCAGTAAATTTCCAGAAACCCTCAAAATCACAAATCGATGGAAGGAGAGTGGGAGAGGGCAGGCAGAGTCTAAGGAGGAAGCTTTCTGAATGCTCTCCTGGGAGAGTCCAAGGCAGAGAAGTTGCAGCAAGAGGGTAGAGGCAGCAAGTGAGGGGGGGGTCGTCCTGAGAGAACGCATCAGAGGAGCCCTGCACACTGGGGCCTGAGCACAGACGGGATGCGCTAAAGTTGGAGCTTGTCTGAGCCTCCCCTGCCTTTTTGGCCTCTGTTCTCCCGGATCTGCTCAGTTTATTCTTGCTGTGTTGTAGGGCACCCTGGACTGTGCTCACAGCACATTGCACAGGTGCGCAGACCCCAGACCCGTCTCTCCCACTGCAGTCCTCTCTTCCGGAAGTCCCCTCTGCTCCCCTGACCTCTAGTCTTTGTAAACCTTCCTTGTTCCCAGCCAGTGAGCAAGCACCCGGAATTCAGAGTTCACAAGTCACTTTTGTGGATTAACCTACCATAACACCCAGGGAGGTGAACCTCACAGGTGTGGTGGGCACATGTCCTCTGCTTCTACTTCCTTTGATACTCCTTGATAGAAACCTGAAGGGAGCCCCAGGGTACCTTGCATAATAAGGATCCTGCTAGTTCCATTCCTAGCAAGCCACATCCTTTTCTCCCTCCACCCTCACCTAGGTAGGGGTTTTCTAGAGTCTAGCAAATAAGTTGCCTCCATGCTTAACCACATCCAACACACATATGCTGCACACCAACCAGAGACCTCTAGGTCTCCAGGGCCTAGCTTTACCTAGGCAAGGCTGGGAATGCTGAAAGGAACCTAGTAGCTAGGACTGGGGGAAGATATGAGCCTTATAGGCCCCAGACACACCTAGGTCCTGGACTTTGGAGGCTGGGGTAATTGCCCACCCAAGCCTAGTGCTGAGACATTGAGATCAGTACAAGTAGCAGTCTGTGGGTTCAGAAACCACAAAGCTGTCTTTCCCTGTCTTCCTCCCCAACTTCCTACCCTGCGTGTACCCTTGGCTCATAGCCAAAAGATGAACTGGCTTCTCGGTGGAACAGGGGACCCCAGAGGCACTTTGCCCTCATGTTTAGGGTTTGTACAACCCCACAAGCAAACAGACATGTTTCTGCCCCTGGTTTGGCTTTCTTCCAAACCCACAGAGGGTCAGAAAGACCTTGCAAAACTCTGAAGAGGCAAGGCCCCTTTCTAACCCAGATGACTAGCAGCCAGGCCCAGTGAAGGCTGCAGAAGGGAGGCCTGGTCTAGGGAGAAAAGGTCCTCCATCTTCCTACATTCCAGAAGCTCCGCTTATTCTCCCACCCGACCCTGAGGAAGTCTAGGGAGGCCTTTTTCTTTTTCCCCTTAATGGGTGAGAATCCTCTTCTTTCAAATTGGGGAGGGAGTTAAGTAAATGAGAGAAAGGTCCTGAAAGAGAGAAAGGGGGGAAAGAATGAACTTACAGCGATCGCCAGGGATTCATTTGCGAAGATGTAACCTCTCTCACCATCATCCCCAGCGCCGTAATCCCCTCTAACTGCCAGGCCCTCTGTCCTAGCATTAAACCTCACCAGCAGCTGCATGGCTGGACAGTTAAGATTATATATGATGTAAATATATTGTGGGTTTGTCAGCTCTCCCTACACCATAAAACTTGGTTTAATGACATCACGTGGTCCCCCAAGAGCCACTCACGGGCTTGCCTTCAGGCCATTCACATAAATAACCTCCAAAAGTTTCAAACTCCTAAATTCACATAGAAGCCTTTTCTATTCCTCTAATGCTCAGTTACACTAAAAAGCCCTCAAGCTGCTCCGTTGCCCCTCCCTGCACCCCCTTGCAGGGTGGGAAGGGGGAGAAAATGGATCTTATTTACTTACTTCCTTACTTCCTTACTTATTTCTCCAAGGACCTGATGCCCTCAAGGTCCTGTTGATATTTTCTTCCTACTTTGTTCTCCTCTCTAGTTGCTCAGAGTGAGCCGTGTCCCCTCTTCTCACTCCCCCGGAAGGTAAGTCACGGTTCTTCAGAGTGGGTGGGCTCTAGGGCAAAGTAGAGAGGTGGGCTCTGGCTCTCTTACCACCCTTTGGAAACAAGGAGCCCCTCTATTTACTCTCCCAGAGCAATGCTAAGCCCTGGAACTTGGAAGTTGGTCCTGGGGCAGCTGGGTGGGGTAGACTTTAAGCAGAAGCTTCTGGTCAAAGAGAAAAGGGATTCCTAGGCCTCACCCACTCCCAGTCCAGGAGAGGTCTGAGGCCTCTGGCTTTGTGTTTGCTGCCTGGGTTGCCTCTACCAGTAGCACTCCTGGAGCTGGACAAGGGCTCAGGCCCATGACAAAAAGGAGAGCTGGTAGGCACAGCTTTCCCTCCAAACCCGGGCAAGCTGAGACAGCCCTTCAGCTAGCTCCTCCAGGGAATAAGAAGTTTGGACTTGCCTGGAGGAGGCAAGCAATCCACCAAAGGGCAGGTGAACTTTGCCAGGCAGGTCTGACCAGTGTCACCCCTATCCCGCTCCCCGTCCCCATCTATCCCTGGGTTCATCAAGCCCTGGTGTGTCCCCCTGGGAGAAAACACAGGGCCTTATGAAGCCTGGGAGGCTGGAACTGGTGAGTCTGGGCACCACCATAACCTCTTCCTTATTTAAGTGTTAGCCATCTGAGCTGCCAGCACTTCTTCACGCTTCAATGCTCATCCAATAGTCTAACTCAGCATGTAGAAAAAATTAAAATAAGTCCCTGAAGAAAATCACACATTTTCTCTCTCTCTCTCTCTGTCTCTCTGTATGTGTGAGTGGGGGGGGGGGGGAAGAAAGTAGGTTGGGGCTGGGCTGCCCAGCATCTAGGGTGCAAGTTGAGGAGTTGAGGGGAGACTTTTGCAGGGCTTTAACATTACCTGAGCACAGAGGAAGGGAAGGGAGGTAATGGGTCCAGTTCTGCAGATAGATACTCACTGAGACCTCCTATATGCTAAGCATGAGATCGGGACAGACACAATAGCTTAGGCAGTGGGAAACAGTAAAGTAAGCCTTTTAATAATCCAAGGAGTATCAGCGTTAATAATCATACAAAAGAAATCTCCCTGCCTCTCCCCAGAGCCACTCTGTTCCCTTTCTGTCCTAGTATAGAGCAGCCCCAAGCCCAGCTTCAGATCCGCTCCAGTATGGGGGGCCTAGTCCTGGCTCCAGAAAATCACCCCATTGTGGGAGGCTGGAGAGGAAATGCAGTAGTTTTATGGACCCAGCCCACATTTGTTTCTACTATAAAGTACTTCCTCCTCCAGCTCATCCCAGGAACTTGGAGTGAAGCTGAGCAGAGCAGAAGCCTAGGCCAGCCCCAGTTGAATTAGCTGTGCCCCCTCCCCCCCCATCAAAATTTCAGAGACTGTGATCAATGATAGCAAACAGACTGACTCCCACACTGGTCTCCGTAGCTCTGATTCCAGTTAACATTAATGTTCCTTCATTGGCTTACAACCTAGAAGGCAGGGAGCAGTTCGTATGTTTCCTTTGAGGTAGAAGTGCACACAGGGCAGGCTGCATTCCCTGTTCTCCTAGTCCCGGCACCCCATTCCACATCTTAGAAAACTGAAGAACATCTCAAACCTTGACCAACTCCCCTTCCCCCATATCTCTTTTACCAAGCAGCATCAACTATTGCTGGGAATCCTTCTGGGGTCAAACATAGCCCTACACCGAGGACTCAACCTTCCATCTATGTCCAGTCAGGCTCCTCGGGGATGACCCAGACCGAGTAGATATCTGGAGACTCAGACCCAGAAAGGCCTGAGTCTCAGTCGGCCGAGTCACTGGTTCCTATGTCCTGGCATTAAGTACAGACTACAGACAATCTAGAAGTCTTTTTAGTCGAGGTAAGAATAGGGCATAGAAAAGTCTGGGGGCACCAGTACAGGAGCCCTCAAGTACCCTTCCCTTCACCCTGGAGGCCCTTTTTGGAACTCAGTTACATTTACCTATTCTTGTTGCTCCTAGAAGTGTTTAAAGTCTTTCTAACGGGATTGGTTAAAGACTGGTCCTCCCCATACACTTCAGAACCTATTTAGACATGTCTACTTAATGCATGCCCTGAACAGACAGAAGTCATTGCATCTTTAATCTTGTTCTTCTTCGTCTTTATTTGATATGACAAAATATAGTTTCAGAAAGGACCTGGAGTCAATAAATAGTTGGGCGACTGCAATGGGCAGGAGGGTGAGAAAGTCATGGCAGGAAATTCAGGATAGCAAAAAGCCTCAAGAACCACTTGCTGGGGTCCAAAGGCAAGAGACCCCAGTAGTTGAGCTAGGTAGCAGGCTGGGGCTGTGAACCTGAGAGCATGCAGCAGGCCAGGCTGGGGAGATTCCCGGGCTCTGGGAGGGGTTAGAAGGTTTGGAGAGAACACGGACAACCTCAGGGGCAACCGGCCACTTTCATTCATCTCCCTCTTTCATATGCAAATCATTAATAAGTAAGGGCAAGTTTAGAAACTATAAAGGTTAGTTGCTATAGAAAGCACCCCGAGTCTGGTCATACCTCTGCCTGGCACAAGCAGCCTTCAGCGGCCTGGCCAGCAGGAACAAAGAAGAGGGTGAGGTGGAGGTCGGAGAAAGGGGTTTTGGCCCGGTCTGTCTCACCTTAACTCAGGCTGGCCTCGCCAGGGCTAGGAGCCGGAGGGGCAGCCCAGGTTGAGGTTCATCCAGCACTGGCCCGCTGTACCCCGCAGCCCTCGGGAAAACCCTACAAGAGTGTGTCCTGGGCCTGGAGTGTTCAGCTGAGCCGAAGTGAAACTGGCAGGGCAGGCGGTCCTGCGGAACCCTGGGTCGATGGGGATTCGGAATGCCAAGGAAATGAGTTTTTGTTTGGAGGCCTGGAGCCAGTGCTCCAGCCTCCGCCCCAAAATCTAGAACGAGGAAAACCGAAAAGGAAGGGAGCAGGGATCAAAAGCCGACGGGGTGCTCTCTGAGGGTTCCCTTCTTCCTCTAAAGAGCCTCTTTGCTCTTCATTTTGGAGTCTTTCTTCCACTTCATCCTGCGGTTCTGGAACCAGATCTTGATCTGCCTCTCGTTGAGACATAAGTTGTTGGCGATTTCTATGCGCCTGCGGCGAGTGAGGTAGCGGTTAAAATGGAATTCTTTCTCAAGTTCCAGGGTCTGGTAGCGCGTGTAACTGGTTCGGGACCGCTTGCCATCCGTCTCTGGAACATAAATCCCCCCAAGCCAGGAAGGGGTGAATACGTGCAACACTTCAGCGTCCCACCCCAGTCGCAGTTTCCCACCCGTGGACGGAGGGGGTGGAGGTGAGCGCGGTGGGACAGGCCAGAAGGGCCTTAGGCGGACAGGCCCAACCTTTGGAGAAGCGCCTCCGCCAGGGCAGTAAACTTTCCACCGCCGCCTTCACTCTGCGGCCGGAGGGGCTGAAGGGGGGGTGGGGGGAAGAGGGAGACCCAGGCTCGGACCGAACAATAAACACCCTCGAGATCCGAGCACCGGGGACCCCCCTCCCGCCCCTCCCGAGTCGCTGGAATCCTCCGGAGCCGCGAGCCCCGGCCGGCCGGGCTCCGCAGGGGAGGGAGGGAGCCCGCGGGGGGATCCCCACTCTGAAGCCCCGTGCTCCTCACCCTTTGGATCCCTCTATTTTTTTAACTCCCTCCCTCTCCCCCAAAAATTGAATATTGCCTTTTATACACGTTTTGTTCCTATGATCCAATTATGTCGTCGTAAATTTGGGCGCACACAGCCTCTAAGCCTTTTAGTGGACAGTTTTACGAGCCATTGATGCCTGAATCGTAAAATTTATGGCCGCAGGTTTTTTTTTCTTTATTTGCCCCGCATGGCCTATAAAACCCAGGCGAACCCGAGCGCGCAAAATGAAGTCCTAAAGTTTACCGTGGCTCATGTGCAGTTTGGTCATCCACGGGTAAATCTGTGGCGGGGCCGGTGGCTGGCTCAGTCCGGAGGGCTGCCCTGTCTGCGCCTGCTCCTCTTTGATCTCCCCACTGCTCTTAGCTCGCTCCTCCAGCGCCGGGCGAGCCGCCTTCTGACTGTACATCCCGGGGTTCAGAGGAGCCGCTTCGTCTCTGCCCAGAGCGTGTCCCGGAGCGGCCGCGGCGCTGCAGGCGGGGCGGTCGGGGTGAGCCCGGGGGTTGGCAGCCATGTCTACCCCGTGGAGAGAGTTGGAAGGCGCAGGCGGTGGGAAAGTGATGCTTAAGTCCAATCCGCCGTAGCAGTACCTGGATGCCTGCACCTCTGAGGCCGATCCATAGTTCCCACAAGTTTGCATGTTATAGGCAGGGATATTGGGGCTCTGCTTATAGAATGAATTGGCTACGTAGGAGCTCATGGCGGGGAGGGCCCAAAAAAAATTCTGCACCCTTTTTGATTAAGGGTGATTTGTGACTCTTTGAAGTTGAGGGTTTTTTTGTTCTCCAAAGTGCACAATTTATAGGTGGAGATATCTCTTTCTTTATCCTATGCGCTCTTCCCAAATAAGGGAGCCTTAAATAGAGTCACGTGACTGGAGCGGCCACTCATAAATTTGGCTTGATGACCTCCGGGAGGTTAGTGATGGAAGCAGGCGAAACGCATCTTGATATGTTGGCAAAGCCCAACCCGGGTGTGTGAATGGGGGGGGGGGGGGGAGTAGAGAAAGAGATAGCGAGGCACCCGGGGGAGCAAACAACCCGGCGCTCGGAAGTGGGGGGTGGTCGGGACAACGAGCTCACAGCGACACCTGGTGCTTACTTGGAGGAATTGCATCCTGAAGCTTCTCTTGGCAGCTGGATTGTAGAGAAGTTGCTTGTTGGACAAACTAACCTTTGAGCTGGCCTTAAAATTCTGTCTAAATTTGAGAAAAGATGAGGCCTTATTTAGAATTTACACAGGTGTTTTTTATGATGGATAGTGCCAGTTCCCTGTCCCCAGAGACTTCCAAACTGCAAAGATGACTGAGAAAGGGGGTTGGGGTAGCTAAAGTCTAGGCTAGAGAACCAAGAGGGTGTACTTAGGTTCTCTACACTAAAGATCCAGATCTCTCGCTTGGGAGGGTTGGACTAAGCTCTGTTGAATAGGATTTTGTCTTCTCAGCTTGGAAAAATGAACTCAGCCTCTAGGAGGTAGGCAGGTTACCCAAAAGGAGGGCGGGTTCCTGAGTGAGCAGAAGCTACCAGAGAAGTTCTGAGGCTGGGAGTCCTGAGGACTCTCTGGGATATGACCTGAGGGGCCAGATGGACTTGGGTTGACTTCACTAAGTTAGGAACCCTATAGGGGTAAGAGGTAACATTTCCATGTGTGTAACCAGACACAGTGGGCTGGAGGACCCTCCTACAGCTGTGATCCTTGTGGGTACTGATGCCCAGAATTTCAGACAGCAAACAGATGACCCTCTAGGGCTTGGAGAGCATGATTCAAACCGCTATTATGAGCAAGGCACAGATAATGACCTGCTTGTAATCTTTTAAGGGTAGGCCCTTAGACCAGGTTTCTCAGCAACCTCAATCTAGAAGGCCCCTAGAAATTTTCTGGACTCTTCAAAGGGTGGGCACAGGGTGGGCAGTCCAGGAGACTGGGCAACCTAGACAGTCTTTGGCCAGGGTTTCTTCAGTCTTTGGTTCCTTTCCCCTGCTCTCTCAATCCCAAATCTTGCCCTTTGCTGTCTGCCTTTCCCCAGGATCTCTCTGCCTCTGCCCCTCCCCGCTGATGGAGGCTGGGGGGTGAGGGCGGTGGCAGGGATGTGGAGAGTGTGGAAAACTCCAGGATACCTCCCATCCCCACCTCTCCCTCTAGGCTCACTCAGATTTCTCTGGCGAGGCTTGGGGGAAGAAGGCTGGAGTCTAGAAACAGTTAAGGTCCTGCTGTCCCCCCCCCCCCCATTAGATTTGAGGAGAAAAGAAGCAAGAACGAGATAGGCTAGGGCTGAAATAAGAAGGAATTTTGTCTGGCGGGTCAGGAGTTCCAGCACAGGCCAGGACTCAGTTTCCAGTCTTTTTCTTTCGAGATGTCCTTGGATCACTGCTCAGTCCCTGCGGACTGATTCCAATATTCCTTGGGTTGCCAGGGCGCTTCAGCCACGTTTTGCAACAGCCGGCCTGGCGGGCTGGGGGACTTGTTTGCTGGTCCTCCTTCCGACGCTGCTGTCAGGCGGGATGGAGTGGGGCGACCCTGGTGCTCGGATCAGGTTCCTTTTCGCGCCTTTTGGGCTCAGGGCTCAGAAGCCCAGGATTCCAGGCTCCTGCAGGCGGGAAGAAAGGCCCGCGTGGGGCTTGCAGCCCAACCCGGCTCACTCAGGCTTCCCCGCCCCCAGCGAAAGTCCAAGAGGCCCCTTTTCCTCCTTTTCTTTTCCGGGGTGTGTGTTGTTCCTCGTAGGGGAGGTCCCAGAGGCCTCTCAGCACCCCAGCACAGCCAGGAGAACCCAGAGACCGTGGCTCGGCGCCCGGCTGCGGGGCAGGCGAGTGTGGAGGGCTGGCGGCAGGCCGCGGGGAGCTCTGCTGCAGGCCCGCGGGCGGGTGAATGAACAGACAGGCGGATTATAAACTTTTAAAAATAATATCAATTTTATTAAATATTCGAGAACGGATCCAGAGGTCGGATTTATACAGAAGGATAACACGAGGGGGTTTCTTTCTTTCTTTCTTTCTTTCTTTCTTTCTTTCTTTCTTTTCTCCTACTGGCTAAACAAACGTCATTCACTTTTTTTTCTCTTTTTGCTATTTTCCCTCTTTTTTTTAATCCTTTTAAAAATGAAATCGGAACACTGACGGTACTAAACATAAATATAAATACAGAGACCACAAATACAGCTAGAAATATTCACACAGAAACGGTCACAGTTCGTAATATGCCATAATGACCCCCAGGAATCTTTAAATACAATTTGCCTGGACTGGGCATTTGCTGGGGCAGAGGGGCTGTGCAGGAACTGGGGAGAAGCCCGGGGTGGAGGTGGGGGATGTTGTAGGGGCAAAGCGCGCCCTCCTGAGGCCTCCCGCCCTCCGGCTGCCAGGCCGGGCCCTGAGGCCCTGGAGTAGAGGCCCCAGGCCCAGGAGCCGGCTATCTGCGCGGGGGCGAGAGTTCAGGGCCTCGAGGTGGGGAGAGAGCCTCGGGCTCAATTGGAGGGACGTCAGAAGAGTCTGAAGCGTGGTTCAGGGACAGTGTCCCCAAGGCCTGGGCAAGGGATGGGGCCCTGCAGATAAGCTAGCGAGGGGAACTAGAGGAGGAGGCCTGTGAAGAGTTGTGCAGTGCGGGAGGGGGTCCAGAGCTGACTTGCAGGTCCACGTCTGACTCCCTATTTTCTTTTAGGAAGTCACAACACATCAATTGTGCCAGTGATAAATACAGAGTATGTGACTTGGGGAGCTGGGAGGAGCAAGGGAGGAGAGAGGGGTGCAGGATCCTGGTCACTCTTTCTGCTTCTCCTCTTCTGTGTCCTCCCGCTTTTCCTCTTTCCCGCCCAGGCTGTCGGCGGCTGCCCCTCCGCCGGCCCCCGAAAGCGTGGATGTGAGATTAGATTCTTTTTTCCACTTCATCCGGCGGTTCTGGAACCAGATTTTGATCTGTCGCTCGGTCAGACACAGAGCATTGGCGATCTCGATGCGCCGGCGCCGAGTTAGGTAGCGGTTGAAGTGAAATTCCTTCTCCAGTTCCAGGGTCTGGTACCGGGAGTAGATCTGGCGGCCGCGCCTCCGGTCTGCTCCGTAACCGACCCCTAGAGATCCGGGCACAAAACACACTAGAAACAATCAACAAGGCCTCCTCTGAGGGAGAAAAACGTCTGAAGACATTTTTGCCTAGCAAAGTCCCGACTCTCTCTACTTGACCCACAACTCACGGGCTTTTCGGGCTCTAGCCTTCCCCCTTTTACTCTGCCCCACCCCCACTGGGGGTACAGCCAGGACCCCAACTTCATTCAGTCTTCCCACGAGGTGGGAGATGTGTGTCCCAAAGAAAGCTGGGGGGCGGGGCTGCATGTCTAAAAGCTGAGTTTTCTTTCTTTTTCAATTTCTATTTTTTTTTTAAATTCCAACTACTGGGGATAAGGGCCCCATCTCTCAAGGACTGGGTTTCCCCCCACCTTCCCCAAAATCCTGAAAAGTTCTCCCCACTTCTCTGCCTTTCTTTCCAACCTAAAGAGACTTTGGGGGGCTTCTCCACCCTCGGTCCCCTCCCCTCATCCCTGCCCTGTTCCTGCCCCCTCAGCTCTTCTTGGAGCCTTCCAATCCGTCAGGGACCAAGGGGGCCAGGCCCCTGCGAGCCAGCGCGGAGATGAGCAGAGGGGGCTGAAGAGGGGGCCCTGTCTCGGTGTCGGCGAGGAGACGAGCGTGATTGTTTTTATGGGGCCATAAAAAACTCTCTCCGCCCGTTCTTCTAGGGAAGCCGGTCATAAAGCCAGTTCAGTTTATTTAATTTATATCTCGGAGCTGTAAAACTCACCACTGTGCGAATTCATTCGCTGCATCCAGGGGTAAATCTGGATACTGGCTTTCTGGTCCTGGGGCGCAGTCCTGCCCTGCTCAGAACTAAAATCCTGAGCCATTGAGGTCTGTGTGTTATGTCCTAAGGTGTTTTGTCTGCAGTTTGAAAGCATGTCTTTCTCCTGGTAAAAGGAATTAGATCCATAGTCATACGGCCCCCGGCTGGAACTGAACACGACATTCTCCTGTGGCGAATAGAAGGGAGTCGAGTAGATCCGGTTCTGAGCTACAGCTGCTCCGTAGGTCGAGAAATGCCTCACTGGATCATAGGCGGTGGAATTGAGGGCGACGTTGGGGAGGACGTCCTGGCCCCCGGCGAGGTGGCAGGATAAGGAAGGGTTAGTGAAGTAGGAATTCATCCCTTTGCCTTTACCTGGTCGGGCTATGATTTCTTTAATATTTATTTCTGTCTCCAGTTTGTACTCGGAACTAGATGGTTATAGGGACGGCTCCAATCCAGGACAGACAAAATGACAAAGTCAGCTGACCCCCTTCTAGCCAATCGCAAGCAAGATGTCAAGAAGGGGGAAAAAAATCGCTTCTGCTTCTGTTGATTCCCTAGTTGAGACTAAGTGTGTGCTTTGAAAGTAAGACTTGGATTTCCTTTAAGAATATATATATATGTAAGGGAACTGGTGGTGATGGGGTGCAGGGCCATGAGCAGGGCCTGTGCCCTGCGGAAGGAAAGATCCAGTCACAGGAAATCTCTCTGCCCCAGCTAACTTTTTGTGCTGTGGCCAAATGCACAGAGAGAAATCCTTGTGTTTTCAGTTCGATTTCATCTTTTGTATTTGCCCCTTTTCTAACATTACATCCTGGTTGCTTCATCTGAGGAGATCCTTCGCAGTGGGAGGAAGTTCCCAGAAATTCTACAAGACATTCTAGCTTGCCACTCATGAAGCCCCCATCACTAGCATATTTTTCCAATAATTAAAAAAATCAAAAGGGAAGGGAGATTTCCTGAAACATGGTACACAGAGGAAGATAGTGTCGCTGAGTCTTGGGTTAGGGGATATGTCCATCTGAAGGGTGACAAGTCCATCTGAAGGGTGAGACCACAGGGTACAGTGGGGTCCTGAAGTAAGTAACTACTCTCTTCTGCCTCCCAGCCTACTGCTCCTCCCCAGAACCCTTTTTTGTGGAAACTCCTACAACATTTTAACTTAAAAGAAAACATGTATAATAATACATTAAGACACACACACACAAACACACACAGAGAGAGAGAGAGAGAGAGAGAGAGAGAGAGAGAGAGAGAGAACCTCTGAGATTCTTTCTAAAGACATCAACACATCAACTCCTGTTTATGTTGGTGAGAATTTATGATTTGGAACCAGCTCAGGCCAGTGGGATAGTTCAAATACTATGCAGCCTGAATGAGGAAGGGACCTTCCAACAGGCTCCAGCCCTCCAGCCACTGCCCAGGTCACAAGACCCTATCTGCTCTGGATTCAGGAGTGGAGCCCTGGACCTAAGCTCTGAGACCCTGGGAAAGGACTCCTGGGGAATCTGGAGTCACCTCTAGGTGCTCAGAAGCCCTTCCCTCCATTTTCCTCCCCACCTTGAGGCTGAGAAAAGGGAGGAGAAGATTAGAACAGAGCAGTTTGTAGGGCTTCAGGAAGGTACAGCAAGTGAACCAAAACAGCAGAAGGTGTGCAGCTGGGGTTTCCCTCTAGCTAATCCAAACTGCATTTGATATCGACATAGGCTGGAAATACTTGGAGCTGACAAAGGAAGGCTGGCAAGGCACAGGAAGGAAGCAGCAAAAACTCATGGTTTCCCCCTCACTCTTTTTTTTTTTTTTTTTGAGACTGACTATAACAAGAACCCGGATGTCGCTGGGTTTTATGATCTTTTCCTTCTGTGTAACAAAGCGGAGTAATCAATGGGTAGCAATAAAGCCATAAACGGGACTATGCTGGGGAAAAAACTCGTTTCTTCATCTTCTGTAATGTTAAGGTTTCCCTGGAGTGTCACGAGGTGGGGGGGATAAAGTTTAGAACCCAAAAACAGACAGTGTGTAGGAACTAGTGCAGACAAAGTGTTAGTTAAATACATGAGGCTTTTTGGGGAGTTGAGGAGTCTTCCTGCCAGACAATTTGTGTTGGCTTTTTTAAAAATCCAGCCTCTGCCTTTGGAAAGGAGGGAAACTGGCTGGAACTTAGGAGAGTAGAAGAAAAATCCCTGTAATTATGGAAGGTTCTATCCCTTGGACTATACTATTTTCTTTCCAAGATGAAGAAGGCAGAGGAGGAGGCAGAGAGAGTTTTTAAAAGTTATCTCATCTGGGGGAGCATAGCAGTTGCTCCCCCAAACACAGACAGTAGTGTGTTGCTTTTTGCTTTCTAATTCATCTGTACTTGAATTCATGGCATGTCTGGGCAGAGGTTTCCAACAGCTGGCTGAGTCTCCAGTCCCCCTGGAGGGCAAGAGGTAGGGAAAGAGCTAACTGAGGGGAGGGTACCCTGGGGCTTAGCTAGGAAACAAGTCAGTTCACCCCTGGACACCAGTAGCCTCTTTTCAAAGTTCCCTGCCTCCTGTCTGCCCTGAGGGTAGCGGTGTAACAAGTAGAAGCCACAGCAAAAAAGAGTAAATTTCCCCCTATTTCAGAATGAAATCGCTAGAGGGATAAATCATGTCAGTGGTACTTCCTTCAAGATATTAAATTGTTGCAATGTAAAACAAATTGAATGATGGAAGATAGGATGTCTTAATGAAGTTTTGTTTTCCATGAGTGTGGATTTTTGTGTATTTTTAAATCTCTTTTATGGATGTGTTGGGGGAAGGGGTGACCTTAAAAGAAAGAAGGGACTTTGGGGGAAGCATTGCTACAGTGTTGCCTGAGTTTCCTAGAGCCCCCTCAATCATATCCAGAGATGAAAGGGGCCCCAAAGTTGGGGAGATTCTCTTTTGGGGCCTAAAGGTGGTAGGCTCAGGGGTGGGCGACCCGAGGAGCAGAGTGTAAAGTCTCAGGCCCGGAAAAGTTAAGTGTTTTATTACGTCCCAAAACAGAGGCAGAGACTGAAAGGTCTCGCCGATTTATAATGAACAGAAACCAGCTGCCTGGGGCGAGGGGGGGGGGGAAGAAATGCTGGAAAGGGGAGACCAGGGAAGGCAGAAACACAAATATCTTCCCATTATCTAAAGACTTTGGGGTAAATTAACTCCCAAAACACTCTCCTGCATTCCTCTCTATTCCTAAAGGAGGAAAAGATCCCATTTCTTTTAGTTAGACCTTTAATTATGCTACTGAAATTTACTCGGAGGATTCAGTCCAAGGGGGAGAGCAAATCAGATGAGTTGATCTTCCTTCCACTGGGTAATAGTTTTTCCTTTTCCCATCTTGTGCTCTCTCTCCTCCCTTTGCGAAAGACTGGCTGTCTATGGGGGAGGGGCCGGGGCTTGAGTTTTTCTAAATATATTTATATTTTCCTGTTAAATTTGTCTGAAAATAATTATGGAAGCTCATCAGCAGAAGCAAGAACAGATGTTTTATTAAAACTGCAGTGCAGCTCTGTAAATATGCACAAGTCTTGGGAAGGAGGGAGACTCCCATTCTTTGTTTCCATCAAAATACAAGCCTAGAGAATCAGAGCAGCCCCCCATTAGGCCCGCCTGCCCGTCTGCCCGCCTGCCCGGTCTATGCCGTACCCTGAGCTTTCGGGCTTTCTGAATTAGGGATTAAGAGGAGACTTGGTGTCAAGAGCAGATTTTCCCTTTGGGAGCAGTAATTACTGGATTTAAAAACAACATAAAAAAATCTCAGAAAAGAAATAAAGGGGGAAAGTTACCACTGGCCACTCCAGTCCCCCCCCCTCAGCGTTAGAAACGTGCTTTCCAGGAGTACTAATTATAGGAGAGGAATTTACTGCCTGCTTCTTGGGCCTGAGTGGGTGTAGTCTCTGACCTGGAGTCTGAGGGCTGCACTGGAGTTTGGGCTGTTAGGGGTTTCCCCGGATTTCAGTCTTCTTGCGGGAGTCTAAGCCAGGAGAAAGGTAGGGAGTCCCTATGGCTGTGAACTGGGAAAAAAGGAAGGGGAGACTGGACTCATTTCTAGGATGATGTTATGGGCGGTCCTCGCCTTGTCTGCCTCTGCTTTCTTCTCTGCTCTGGCAAATGAAGTAATTTTGTGTGTCCAGACATTTGAGATGAGCCTGGTGAGGTCTGGAATTTTTATTCGGGGATATTCTTGGGGGGAATGTCCTCCCTTGTGCTCTGCAGGTCTCCTCTCTCCCTAGATCTTCTTCACCTCTGCAAAGATGTCTGTGACTGTCTCTAGCACTGACCTACTCCATTCCTGGCCTCCGATCCCAACTACGTGTAGCTCACTCTAACGCGGCAGCGGGAGCCGCGGGACTCCAAGCTCCCTCGGCTGCCTGGGCTCTTGGAAGCCTAAAAGATACCGCAGCTGCCGGACACTGACCCTCCACCACCTCCAGTTCTTGATTTCCAGCGACACAGAATGGTTACCCTCCTCGGCCCCTTTTGTGCCACTGGGGAGCGAGCTGAAATCCCTCTTGCAGAGAAAGCTGAGTTCAATAATTGTTCAGCTCACCTCACAATCGCACTATTTGGTTAAGGCTTTGTTGTTCTAGAGTTCAGCTAGCTCTACTGGCTTATAGCTAAATTTTTTTTAAAAAACTTTAAAAAAAAAAAACCCTATTCCCAATGTCTGGTGTTTTTTGAACAAGCCCCTTTGATCTCTGTGGACCTCGGAGGGAAAGAATTGCAAAGACCGCTGCAGGCCGCCCAAGAACCTGAACGGGAGGTCTGGTCTGCTTGGGAATGCCAAACATGGCTCACCCAAGGGCTCCCAGTTTTTTCTAGACTTGTTAAGGAAAGATTTCCTAACACACACACCCTCTGTACATACTGTGCATTCCAAAAAAGAAAGCTGCTTTCAAAAGTCAAGCTTAGACACACTGGGAGAAAAGTGAAAATTGACACACCCTACTCAGAGACAGATTCAGTTGTGGGAACTTGATATTTGGTGACAAGGCTTGAGCTCACCAGCTGAAGGAAGTTGGGGTGTCCTTGATGAGAGGAAAGGACCAGAAGGGTCAGCTGCTGAAAACTTGCCCAAATAACTCTAAGGCCTGTGCTGTGATTCCGCCTTTTGAACTAAGAAGAGGTTCTGAACCTCTAGAGCTGATGTGTCTTTACCACAAGTCAGCACAGGAGAAAGGTATACAGAGCAGCCCTGCTGACTGATGGCCCTGTTTTCTCTCCTTCCTCTGTTTTTGTGAATCTCTGCCTGACCTCTCCTAACTTACACTCCAGTTACCGCTACTGCCATCAGCAAACACAAAACCCACTTTTTCATGTCTGGCTTCTCCAACACTGACTTAAAGTTCAAAAGTAAAATAGATCCCATCACACTGAGACTCCTTCAGGCTTCATCTGGAAAAAAATAATTTCTGACTTTTAGAGACCAGGCCCTTAGGTCTCCCACCTTGATACCAAAGCAGCAGAAATATCAGCTGAGGAGAGGATTTGTGAAAAGCAGCTCATTCCTACTGAGAGTTCAGTTGCTTTGGAACATTTCAGGAGGGCAAAGCAGGTGGCCTTACTAGGCCAGGAAATAAAAATCACGACTGACCCAGAATACCTCAGGTACTTTGCATTACCCAAATAGAGCCTGGGGGGCTGCCAGGTGAAGAAGCACAGACAATGAGGAATGTACTATTCAATGCTAGTCCAAAGGGGTCTCAGCTCTCTGGTTCCTCCTCTGCTTTTGAATGTAGACCATTACTTGGGAATGTTTTGGAGGTTAATGAGAATTTAAAGCTGGTGAACTTAGCATATATGATATCACAGTGAGTTGCCATATGGAAACTATGTAAGTCATAAAAGTATGGCAAGAGTTGTATATATGAGATGAGTACCAAGCCTCCTCTTACTCACCCCGTTTCTTCTCCTGGCCTAACTTCTTTGGAAATAAAATGTTATTATGTTCTAGAACAATAAGCCAACAATGAAACATCATAGTCATTTCTCTACAAATAAATAAGCTTATCCTTTATTGTCAGCAGATCTGAAAGAGGTATTTAATTTATCCTGGTTAAAAAAAAGGAGAGAGATGGGGAGAGAAGATCATTTCAGAAAAAAGAATATTACTTACTGTAGTGATACTATTTTAGAGTTGATAGCCAGGAGCAAAATTAAAGGCAAACATCGACCTTTCTGACTCTACACCTGACATAATTGGGGATTTATAGGACCTTTACAAAAGGGGCAATTTAATTTTTGTAGGATTTGCATAAATTCACTGATATTTTGGAGGGCTGAGTAGAGAGGGGTAGGCAACATGCTTTATCTAGTTTTATGATTCTACTAACATTACCCTGGCTGAAAATCCAACCTGAGAGAAGCTCAAGCAGAAAGGAATAGAGGAGCCAGGAGGAGGAGGGCAGAGGAGCAGGAATGGGTTCAGAGTCTGTGGCCCCCTTTCCAAACAGTTACCAAGGTGAAGGAAGAAACACTGCCACGGGAAAGAGAAGGAAGGGTTGGAAATCTCCCCAACACTGGGACACCCAGAGGTTTATGGTGTCTCCATAATTCTCCTGTCCCATAAACGACGGCCGTTTTCAGGACAATTTCTGCTTCCTCCCTTTGGAGGGGGAAAATGAGGGGGTGCATAAGGGCGGGAGGGAAGAGTGATGAAAGGGGAGGGAGTTTGAAAGAGCTCTGCACTTTGTTCTCCAGAGCGAATTTGCTGGTTTGGCGGGTTTCTGACGCAGGGTGGCAGCAGACAAAACAAGTAAACAAGGCACAGACACAATAAACAGGGGCGTCTGAAGCATTGGCACAGGCTGTGGGATATTTAAGGGGCAAGATTCTGGGTTAATGTCACCCCAAAGTCGGTGTGGCCAGAGCAGGAAGGCCTGAGGTCACCCTCTGTTATTGAGGAAGAAGCATGGAAGAAAGGTTGTGAATCTCCTAGAGCCACAAGTCTGGGCAGGAGATTCTTGGGAGGAACCTAACTGCCTTGGGAGCACCACAAAACCCCATCCAACCCTGCTCCTGTCCTCACTTCCATTCACAGGGCTTCCCGCTGACATTTGTGTTTCCTCTCAGTTCTGTCTGTCCTGGAAAAGCTGCGAAAGGGGCCAACAGTGGCCAATACTCAGGGCTCCAGGCCCACAGGCTAAAGGGTCTAGCTTGTATTCTAGAGGGGCCTCTACCAACCTTCTCCTAGTGGGCCTCTCTGGTTAAGGTCACTGAAAGTATTAAAATGTACCCCCATCAGTCTCCAGATCTGGGACCTTCCAGAACTAATAAGCCCTTCAGACAATCAAATCTGGCCTGAGGTAATGAGCCAGGGAGGCAAAGGGTGGGGGGAGCTATTCACAAGCACCCTTGCCCCTCCAGGTTTACTGTCTCCACAGCCACCCAGATCCCTACCCAGAAATCATCTTAGCCACTATAATCCCTTTGCATCCATCCCTATGGAGGTTTCCAGTCTCCAGGGCCTAGTCCTGGCTGCTCAGAATCACTCACAGCCTCACAACAACTATGAAAGAGTCCAAAGACTTCACTTTCGAGATGACTAGGTTCTCCTTGGAAGGCAGCCTGTGAGTTGGCAGACTTCTTAAGGAGATAAAGAGAGACAGCAGAAGGATGTAGTATTTCTCAGGCCAGAGACTGGGACAGCAAAAGCAATAAGCCAAAGCCCTTGTGGCTTCTTTGGATTTTTGCAAGCCACGTACTCTGATTCCAACACACATATTTCCACCAGAGACGCCCAGAGGGCCTCCTCCTCATGCCCATCTCTTCTAGTCCAAGCCTTCTCAGCCAGAGAAGGCTAACAAAATTTCACATGCACACAACATGGTGTTGGACAAATATAGCCAAGGTAATATATAGTTAAAGGCACAAGAAAATACGAGTCTCTTTATATTCTTTCCAGAATCTGAATTGGTATATTTGAGACTATATAATAAATATATAATTCCACCAAGCCTGGTTTCAGAACACAACAGCCAGTTCAACAAAGTTGCCTTCCCCAACCAAGGTCAAATTCTTCAGGGATCACAACTGTCAGAGAGGAGAAAGCGTTTGTTCTGTCCCTTTCTGCTAGGAACCTGGCATGAAACACAAAGGGTAGTAGGGCTTACAACACCTCTTAAGGGGCTGATCTGAGTGTGCCCAGAAAGTGAGCTCAGAGGGAATGCTACTAGGTCCCAGGCGCTTGGGAGGTTGCCAAGCTTTGATCCACAGAATCCAGTGACAGCCTAGCCTCAGTTTTGAGGGTGCAGAGAGTCCTTGGGCAAAATTCTATTCCTAGTTCCCTGACTATTATTAGATAATCAGAGGAGCTCTCCTAAAGTGAGGAACCACATTCACACAGAATTTGGCATGCAAGGAGGTTAAGGATTGCCACTGGTGTCCCTCTTGAGTTTCTGCCAGAATGCCAGAAAGAGAAAGAACCAAGGAGCAGAAAAGCGAAAGTAACTGGCGGGCAGAGTGCTGTGTTGAGGTCTGATTTATCCCTTGGCCAGGTCGGAAAACTT